ACACACACACACACACACACACACACACACACACACACCCTACGCTATCCTCTGCCATTAACTCAATTCCAACTCATAGCAATCCTATAGGACAAGTAGGCCTTCTTAGGTTTGCCAAGACCATAAATCTTCCTGGGAGCGAATAGCCTCAGCTTTCTCCCCAAAAGAAACCAAGGAGCTTTCCCCCGATCGCCATGCATTTGGTAATTCTTTGGGAATGGCAACGACTGCCCTACAAGAATTTTGTAGGGAAACCTTACCCAGCCACCCTACAGCCTTGATCTTGTCCCTTCGGACATTTTTTCATTCCCCAAACTCAAAGAACACTTAAAAGGAGCACAATTTGCATCCCTTGATGATAAAACTGCTTTTTTTTGGCACGGTGTGGATGGAGGAGCGCAGAATTCTTTCGGTCGGGGGAGGTTGGAGAGCTAGAAGCACCGCCTTCAGGTGTATAGAGACCCAGGTGGAAGATATTTGGAGAAAAACCAAGAGTTTCACATTTTGACATGTTTTGTTTAAGAAAGGTTGCTATGATTTTGTAGCAATACTTTTTGACCTACCTTCATATATGTACAATATATTTTCTATATAAACATATACTTTATATAAATGATATCCATTTTGTAAATTTATATCAGTAATATACGTTATAAAAATGGTTACAGCTTTTAAAAATGTAAAAATAAGCATATATTTCAAAATGTATGTTAAAAATTATCTACGTATATAAATAAAACCAGACATACAGTCTTTGTGCATATAGTTTTTATGCAATTACAAAGTCAAAACAAGCTTAAAAATCTACAACAAATGACACCAATAAAACCCAAATAAAAATATGAATTTCATGTTACAGTTGGCTCTCTTCCTTCCTTCCTTTCTTCCCTCCCTTTTCCTTTCTTCTCAGAAACAAGGGTCCCACATGGATGAGGTACTGATCATCACAGCTCAGGTTCTTTTGTGTTTGACACATGTAGGCCCCCCCCTCCTGTCACTACAGGAAAATCTTCGGCTTTGGGGGACCTTTGCTTGGGCCAGATGCCGCATAGAGCAGTGCAGTATTCAAACAACCAACTAGAGTCCATAGTCAGAAAAAATATTTTATTTTATTTTATAATCTGCTAAGCTCCTGAAGCTTTCCTTTCCTTCTCTGAGCAATGAGGTTTCAGTAAGAGGAACCCCGGTGACACCAGTGGGTCAGCACTGTGACCATAAACGGGGAGCTCCGGAGCCCCCAGCTGCTCGGTGGGAGAGAGAGAGTGGTCTGCTTCTGCAGAGATAAACAGCCTGGGAAACCCTGGGGGGCAGTTCTATGCTGTCTTACAAGGTCACTATGCGTCAGCATGGCCGCAAAGAGTTTTCTGTTTTTAGGGTTTGGTGTTTTGCTTATTCATTTTGCTTTTTGTGTATTGTCTCTTCCACGGAGCAGACCCACGAACGTGTGCATGACGGAATCTAGCCCAACACTCAGGAAGTCTTAGGATGCTCTCATTATTGCTACTTCTTAAGGCGCCTTTGTTTTTCTTTGATGTAAGATAATCAAACCAATACTGCTTGACCCACGAGAGATTTTTTCAAAAGGATAAGATGGGAACATTTGATTTTTTTTAACTTTCAGATGCAAGGGGTTGATTTAATCAAACACAGTCACACTATATCATAGTTGATTCACCCAAGACCTTGGCCTGTCTTATTAATTTTACCATTTGTCTTATAGCTCCCTTTTTCCCATCCACCCAACACCACAGGCAACTGTTCTAGTGTGTTTAGTGTATATTGTTGTGTTTGCGTATTTGTTGGCAAAACAGGAATTTTACTGCATGTATTTAGATTATATGAAAATGTCATGGGGTTATAGACATTAAAATGTCTTTGTGGAAGCACCCTAAAAGCTCGTCTACAGATGAATGGATAAACAAAATGTGGCAATTGTATGTGTGGAGCATTATTCAGTCATAAAGAGAAATGAAGTTCTAATACATGCCGTAATGTGAAGGAACCTGAAAACATTATTTCAAGTGAAATAAATCAGTTACCAAAGTGTGCAGAGACCAAAGTTCACTAGTGGTTTTGTGTATGGTTTGAGGCATCCGTCCAGGCCCATCCACTCGCATATGGAAATCCAGTTCCCCTAGCACTAGTTAGTCTTCTCCAGTGGCATGGACTTGACACCACTGTTGAAAAGTACTGGACCTAGAACTATAGGTTTACTTCGGGGCTCTGAAGTCTAGGGTCTACACGTCTATCCGTAGACTAGTACCAGGCTCTTTTGATTACGATAGCTTTGGAATACGTTTCACCATCAGGACATGTGAGTCTTCCTACTCTGGTGCTTCTGTTTTGTTTTCTTAAGACGGCTTTGGCTCATCATGGCCCCTTGTGGTCCATGTGAATGTAAAGGCTGGCTTTTCTCTTTCTAACAAGAAGGCCGTTTTGAGTTTTGTTGGGAATTGTGTTAAATGTATAGATGGCTTCAGGTAGTGCTCACATCTTCACCATATAATCTTCTGATCCAGGAGCACAGGTTGTTCATCCATGTATTTAGGTCTTCTTGGCTTTAGTGGTGTTTTATAGTTTTCTGTGTAAAAAACTGTTCACATCCTTGGTTAAATTAATTCCTAGGTATGTTAGATACTATTGTAAATGGCATCGTTTCCTTAATTTCCTTTGCAGGTTGTTCATTGTTAGTGCATTCAAGCCCTTTTACCCTGCTACTTTGCGGCTCGCATTTACTCCTTCCTATGGATTTATTGAGGTCTTCTATGTATAGAATCGTGTCATCTGTGGAAAGAGGTGGTTTTACTTTTCCCCACTTTGTAGGCAACCCCCACCCCCTGCCCCACCCCTTGTCGAATTGCTCTGGCTAGTACAATTTTGCTTCTAATCTTAAGGGAAAACTCAGTCATTCTCCGTCGAATATAATGCTGCTTGTGAGTTTGTCTTTCTTCTTACAATTCTTATAACAATGTTCTTATAACATTCCACACATCAATTGCTTCAAGCATATTTGTACATATGTTGCCCTCATCATTTCCTAAACATTTACTTTCTAGTTGAGCCCTTGGTATCAGCTCCTCTCCCCCCACCCCTCCTCATGACCCATTGATAACTTATGAATTATTACTGTTTTCATGTCTTACACCTACTGCCATCTTCCTTCACCCACATTCTGTTGTTCATCCCTCAGGGAGCAGGGGCAGGGGGAGGAATTATGCTTCAATCATTGCCATCGCCTGTCCTCCCCTCCTCCCCCCACATTCTCCCGGCCCTCCTGGTATCACTACTCCTAATTCTAGGTTTATCTGACCTGGATTCCGTGTGTCATGAGCTCTTATCTGTCCCAGTGCACATGCTCTGGTCTAGCCAGAAATTAAAGGCAGGACTGGGGTCATGATAGTGGGGGGTGAGGAAGCCTCAAAGAATTAGAGGAATATTGTGTGTTTCATCGGTGCTATACTGCACCTTGGTTGATTCATCCCTTCCTTGTGACCCTTCTGTGAGGGGTTGTCCTATTGTCTACAGATGGGTTTGGCGTCTCTGCTCTGCCCACCCCCTCATTCTCAACAATATGTTTATTTGTACATTTGGGGATTTGTGAGTTTTTCATAAATGCCCTTTATCAGATTAAGGAATGTCCATTGCTTTCCTAGTTGGTGGAGTCTGATCATCATGACAAGGTATTGGGTTGTGCATCAATTGAGATGATCATGGTCAGTAATATAGAATATTACATGGATTTAGTTTTCTAATATTGATAGCTGAAATAATTATTGTGGATGTCCTTTAACAGATTGAAGAAGTTTCACTCTATAGTGCCAGTGCTTTTTCTGCATGAATTAATATGATCGTGTGGCTCTCTTCCTTAGACTGCTTCAATGTCAGATTCCATTGCGTCCTGGGCCAGTTTGCATTCTTGGAATAAAGCCACTGAATCCATGATATGTGATTATTTTTCATACTGTTGTATTCAGTTTGCTAATGTTTTTATGAGTATTTTCTAGTCTGCGTTCATGAGAGATATTGATCTGTAGTTTGTTTTGTTGAGCTGTTTTAGTATGTCGTTAAAATCAAAACAATAATGCTGGTGTCATACAATGAGTTGGGAAGTGTTCCCTTTTCTTCTATTTTTCTGGCAGAGATTGTGTAGAACGGGGCTTGCTTCTTATTTAAAAGTCTGATAGAAATTCCCAGGGAAAACTCCAGGCCTGGAGGTTGCTTCCTGTTGT